ACCTATTTATAATCTTTTTCTGTTTTATTATATAAAAAAGCAAAATAAGAAAAAAAAGTGGTGTTGAAACTCAATATATCTACAACATTCATCAAGGGCATTTTATATTGATTCATCTTATACGTGCAGTCAATCAGTAATACAGTGAGGTAGGTACAAATTAAAGCTATAAAGATTTTGTATACAAAAAAGAGATAAGTTATATAGTTTTGCTGATCGTATTGATACTTAAACTCGAAATCTGATCCTTGTAATTTATCAAAAAGGGCTTGAACTGGTATATAACTATCAAGCTTTTCTTGATGAATAGATTGTAGTGTGTTGTAGACTGTCTTAAATATAACCATTGAAGATAGATCATTTTGATATATGATAAATAAAATTTGGCAAAGATAAAAACTAGCAGCAGCCATTTGCTTAACCATCACCTTTTGCTCAGTATTCAATCTTTTAACTATTAGATACCTAGACATGTTTGTTAATACTTTATAGTTTTTATATTCAGGGTTTATAATCTCAAGGTACCAAACATTACTACATCTGGTTTTAAAAAGTTCAAATAGACAATTTACAAGTTTTGATGCAGTTTTTCTATAGCAAGTATCATTTGTCAAGTTTAAACTGTTTTTATAGAGACCGTTTCTATCATATACTAATATTATATTTTTTGTTTTATCTTTTCTTTTCATGATCTCTTTATAGATATAGCATATTCTTAAATTTTAGCAAAGATCTGAATATATTCAAGAAGTTTGTAATAACTTTTAAATAATTCATTAGTTAGAGGTGAATCTATATGAAATATATAATATTGCATTTGATAGATGATTATTATGATTATTAAATATTTATTAAACCACTTTTTTTTTTATTTTTTTTGTAGTTTTGCTAACAGTTTTTTTTTTTATAGTTTTATTAATCAGTTTTTGTATTCGGTTTAAATTTTATAAGATATTAATAAAGTAAATAATTTTTTGATTTTTAGATTTCAGTTTAAAGAGCAAAAAGAGGGAAAAGAGAGACCATGAAACTATTTGTTGTTATATGCTATATTTATTTGTCTAATTTATTATATTATAAACATATCATTACATCAATTATATCTAATATTACTGTAGTTTTAGTACAAATTGCTAGAAATTCAATATATAATAGTCGATTTGGATATACAAGTATTTAATTAAGGCTTATATGATTTATATTTTTCTATTATTAAGTAAATTAATATTTATATGTCTTAGAGTAGGATTGTGTGTTGACTAAGATTATTAATACTATCAAGGTACTGATACTTTTATTAATATTAAAATATTATCAGCTTGGGTTAGCTAAATAACTTAACTAGAAATTAATTAACGGTTCTAATTACAATGCAGCAGCTGAGCCATTACATAGATTATTACTTGAATAATAGTTTAAACTATAATTGGAACTATGATTTTTATATTAAATTCAAAATAAATATAATGATGATTGAAGCTAATATTATAACTGAGAATCACATATTTTATTAACAAACTATTACAATACCTGATGTATTTCTAAAAATTAATAACTTCATAGTAACTGATCTCTTTTTATAGTGTTGGTATGCCAACTATTGGTATACAATATATGATACAATATAATTTATATGTATATACTTTGGTCAGATTTTGCTATTAGATTAGAATTCAAAGATAATACAAACAAAATTTTTTAATCATAATTTCTGGGTTCACATCATAGAATAATATTTGTCTGATTTGTAAATCTATCTATAAGAAAACAAAAAGAACTTTAAAAATGAACAAATAATGTAAAAATTTTATTAATAAATCCAAGCTCAAATATAATCAAAAATGAATAAATTACTATATTATATAATGAAGTTATCTTTTAGTTTTTATTTATTATATTGTGAAAGTAATTAAAATAATTCTATTCTATTTTTTGTCATCACAACCTTTATTAGATGTGATGTGATCTTTAGCTTATATAATTAATGAAACGATAACACTTATATGTCGATCTATTTAATTTAAAGTCATATTTATTAATCTAGTAATATTATTTTATATATCCTTTAAACCGTCTAGCGGCCAAATTTGGCTGCTAAAATCTTTTTTTTTTGATTTTGTGCGATTGTGCTTGATTTTTCTAAGCAATTGTACCCCTTTCCTAAGCTCAAATTAAAGTTTGCTATTTTGCAGATCAATTCATGATTTCATATCACATTATAGTAGTACATGATATCATAATTACATGTTAGTAGTACAGCGATTATCTTTTAATCGCTATCAATTAAAATCAAAAAAAGAAAAAAAAATCAAAAAAAAATTTACAACTATGCCAAAGATGAGTTCATCCTCGCATTTACTTCTACTTGAAGAAGATACTGAGGTATTTTTTAACAGTGAGGATGAAGAGTACATACCGGTTCTGACATCCCGACAACGTTTTTCAAACCACCTGGGGTCAGACGATGAAGAAGAAGAAGAAGTTGTTGAAAGCAGTAGTAAGAAGGGCCACAAACAATCAAAAAACGTATCTAACTTGCCACCACCACCTTCAGATTTTGAACCATTGGTTCATTCAAAAATTTATATCAGGCATTTATTAATTTGCTACCAAATTATGAAGTTGGTTTCTCAAAACTAATCAACCTTTTTTTTCTTTTTTTTATGAACATTTTACTGGACAAAATTGTCCTCAATACGAATTCATATGCATTAATCAAAGGCACTGGCCTTGCTAGAAGATAGTGGAAAAACATAGATTATAAGAAGCTTCTTATCTGGATTGCCCTTGTCATTTACCAGGGGTTTTTGGGCTGTCTTCACTTGATAATTATTGGAATGAGGACCCAAAGCTCCCTATTCACAATATTTCTAAACAAATGCTGCTGAAACATTTTGAACAAATCAAGAGGTACCTTCATATCTCTTTCCCTGCGGCAGATATTAATTATTACTTTAAAAAATTAGAGCCGCTGCTTTCCCACATTCGAGACGTTTCTAAACAACTTTATACACCAGCCTCAAACGTCTCAGTTGACGAAATGATGATAAGGTTTTCTAGCAAAAGCGTCCACACCATTCGAATTAAGAACAAACCAACCCCAGAGGGGTTTAAGGTATTGTCGCTTTGTGATTACGGATATATATTCACTTTTTGCCTACGTCGCGTATCTCCCCAAGTGATGTAAAAAAAGTGAAAAGGCTCAATCAAACTAGTTGCACGGTCCATCATCTTGTCATGCAACTTCCATATCATCGATTCCCATTTAATATTTACATGGATAACTACTTTTCTAACATTCCTTTTTTCCAGAATCTTCGGCAAGTTGGCATTGGCACTTGTGGTACTGTTCGAACAACAGCATTCGGGTTCCCTAAGGAACTGAAGATGGATAAGAAACTTCAACTTGACTGGGATGTATGTTCTAGTGTTGCAGTAAATAGAGTGTTGGCTGTGTTTTGACAGGACAATGGTCCGGTCACAATGCTGTCAACAATTCATGGTCTTGTTGGTAAATATTGGGAAGTTGAATATGAAAGACGGCGGCCGAGAGAAACAAGCACCAATGTAATAAAAGTGCGTGCGGTGTTTGGGTCTTAACCAAAAAAAAAGCTAAAAATTTCCAGGATAATAGATGATTACAACCATCACATAAATGGTGTAAATGTTGCAGATCAACTATGGTCATATTACTGTACGCAACAAGTGGTACAAAGAAACTGAATGCTGCTTTTTTTTGGTTGTTGGATACTGCCATCGTCAATACATATCGTATCGCCCAAATCCTAGGATCTACTCAGAAGCATAAGGACTTTTGTCTTGAACTGGTGTGGAATTTCATAAATAATATAAGTGGTGAAGAGGAAATTCAGCTTAGAGGTGGGTCAAAAAAAAAAAAAAAAGAAACAAATGAAAAAATGAAAAAAGAAACCAAACGCCCGAAAGTGATGAAACACTTCGAACTTTCAAACTGACGGTTTGCTCCTGGTAACCATTTAGTTGAGTGGCGAAAGCGAGAATCGTGCTAATGGTGTGCGTGGTTGGCAAGTAAGAAAAACTTGGATTTGGATCGTAAGACTCCATATCGAAGTAATCTTTGATATACCATATGTGATATACCACTCTGTTGTAATAACTCTTGAAATTGTTTTTTAGAGTTCCATAAAAAATAAAAAAGGCATTAAAAATCTGCAGGGATGAGAAATATTTCTGCAATA